GTTAAAAATTATTATGTTAAATTTAGCATAAGGATGATCCTTTATTTATGGAATTTCTTGAAACTCATACTGGTAAAGATGCAAAAACAGTTTGGAAAAATGATATTGGTGTGCCAAAAGACGAAGTTGAAACATCTAGTGATGAATCCGAAGATGAAGAACATGATGTGTCTAAAGAAACTAGTCTAAAGACAGGTGAGAAAAAGGAAGACATATTTTCTTCTTTTCTTGTTTTTCTTCTTTCTTAAATTATGTATTATTAAGCAACTTTTTTTAAGTACTATGTTACATAATAAATTAATATTATTTTACTCAACATATTTTATAAAATTTATTTAATACTATAGAATTTAAACTGAATTTAATGTTTATTGTAAACACAATATTCTGTAGAAGAATTCATATTCTAGAAATTCTGTTGATTAATATATTATTTTTTAAAATAAATTTTATCTTATTTGAATATTGCAATTTGTATCTTTTGTAGAGTAAGAAAATAACTGGAGAAAATATATTTATGTATTATGTATATTTTAGAAAAAGTGACACTTGCAAGTGGAAAAGACGAACCTGATTGGTTACGTCAGAGTGGAATAAAATCTCTGACAAAAGATATGTCAAAGTATGGTCCATTGACATTATATACTGTAAAAATACGAGGACTTGCATACGTACACATGAAAAAGCATATTAAACAATTTTTTCGTCCTATAAAACCGAAATCTATACGAATCCCTCCCAAAATTAAAGGTATAGCTTATGTGGGATTCAAAACAGAACAAGCTATGAAGAAAGCTCTTATGAAAAATAAGAGTTTCTTAGGTAAAACAAAATTAAATACAATTTAAAGTAAAATATACAATATTTTGCACATTTTTAAGAAATTTTTTATTTATATAGAAGGGAAACAAATATTTGTATCCAAATATGAGCGAAAAGAGGAAGTTGAATCTAATAAGGACTCGTGTAATAAAACTAATATTAAATGGAAGAAACAAGAAGAAGCTTTAAAAAATGAAGAAAGTATAGCAGAATCTGGAAGAATGTTTATCAGAAATCTAACATATACAACTACAGAGGATGATGTCAGAAAACTATTTGAAAAATATGGTCCTCTGTCTGAAGTGGATTTACCTGTAGATAGAATGACTAGGAAACCAAAAGGATTTGGCACAATAACGTTTTTGATGCCAGAACATGCTGTAAAAGCTTACAGTGAGTTGGACGGTTCTATATTAGATGGTAGAATGTTACATATTCTTCCTGGAAAGACAAAAACTTCCTTAGAGGATATCGATACTGAAAATTTAACTTATAAACAAAAGAAAGAATTGCAGACTAAGGCAGCTGCGAGCTCGTCACATAATTGGAATACACTATTTCTTGGACAGAACGCTGTGGCAAATGCTATCGTCAGTCGTTACAACACGACAAAGGAGAAATTATTGGAAGATGAATCAAATGGAATGAGCGCCGCGGTCAAACTAGCATTAGGAGAAACGCAATTGGTTCAAGATACAAAAATTTTTTTGGAAGAAAACGGCGTATGTTTGGATGCTTTTAATGAAGCACCAAAGAAGAGATCGAGTACCATAATCTTGGTGAAGAATTTGCCGGCTGAAACAAAACCAAATGAACTACAAGAAATGTTTGCCAAACATGGAGAACTTGCGCGTATTATATTGCCACCGGCGGGCATAACAGCGCTGGTTGAATTTTTGGAGCCGTTTGAAGCACGCAAGGCTTTCCGCGCATTAGCTTATACAAAATATAAGCATCTACCATTGTATTTAGAGTGGGCGCCAGATAACAGTTTCATCACACCTGCATCTAAAAATAACATAATTGAAAATAATGTGACTATAAAAAAATCAACAGATTTGAAAGAAATTGAAAACGAAGTTACGATAAAAGAATTTAAAGAAAATAAGAATAATACACGTAAAGAAGAAGATAACGAGCCAGCCGAATTAGATACAACACTTTTTGTAAAAAATATTAATTTCTCAACTACGGAAGAACAATTGAAAGATGTAAGTAATTAAAAACGGTATCAATTTTTTTGTGTAATAATACAATTTTATATTTGTAGTACTTCGGCAAATGTGGTCCTCTTCATTACGTCACACTAACTACTAAAATGGATCCAGAAAATCCTGCTAAAAAATTATCTATGGGATTCGGATTTGTAAGATACAAAAGAAAATTTGACGCAGATCGTGCGTTAAAAACGTTGCAGATGTCAGTACTCGATGGGAAGAGCTTAGAATTGAAACGATCTGAAAGAACACTAAAGTAAGTTATTTCTATTTTATTAAAAAGCCGAGAATTTTTAATAACCACGAGATATTTTAGATCTGATGTCAAAATAGCAAGAAAGAAATCTATGATCACCGAACAGACTGGCACCAAAATTTTAGTACGAAATATACCCTTCCAAGCAACTGTCCAGGAAGTGACAGAATTGTTCAAGTATGCGCGCGCACGAACACACACACGTATATAATGTCTTTGTATGACATTGCGATGTAATAATTAATTAATTATAATTTTATAGATCATATGGTGAGTTGAAGGCCGTACGATTACCGAAGAAATTGGTCGGCACTGAAAAGCATAGAGGATTCGCTTTCATCGAGTATTATACTAAGTCAGATGCAAAGGTAAAGAAATTTTTAGTGTTTAATTTAATTTAATAAAATAATCTAACAGAAAAAAATTAAATTATTTATAAACGTAGGAATGAGAACTGCATTAATCTCGTATTAACTTTATGTGTGTATGTGTGTAATATATATATATATATATATATATATATATAAAATTCGCATTTTGTTGTAGAAAGCATTTAAGGCACTATGTCAAAGTACTCACTTGTACGGTCGAAGATTAGTTCTTGAATGGGCACAAACGGAAGAAGGTATTGAAGAAATCAGAAAACGTACTGTGAAACATTTCTACCAAGGTAATTAATTTTTTTATATTTATTGTACTTTAATATAATAAATTGATTCATATTGATTGATACAATAGAAAATTGCATGACTCTGAAGATGTTTTAAATTTCTTTTCAGAAAATTCAACAAAACAGTTTAAGAAATCCAAGTTAGATCCTGAAAGTGTTGGTCTCGAATTAAATACGACTCAAGAAACATAATGTGCAAATTATTTATAAATTATTCAATAAAAAATAATTCAAAAATTATAATGCGCGACTCTAAAACGTTAATTAAATTGTAAGAAAATTAAGATTGGTATTTTTGATAATTTTTTTAGCATTTAATTATTTTTTGATAAATGCTTGTATCAACAATATTATCTGTAATATTGTATATTAATGAATGATTATTAGAATCAATAGGTTAATTTTTTTATAGTCAAACTAATATACACTCTTTGTGTTTACAGAAATATATTGATATATGTTTAAAATTTGGCGAAAGCGAGAAAAAAAATTCTGGCGCAGTCCAATTAGCAATAAAAAAAAATTATATATTTTGCAACACTTTCACGTTTCAATTTTTATTCCTTTTTACTTTACGTTGATCAGATACTCGAGTTTGTTAATTGGAAATCGAAAGAATTTTTATTATGTGACATTAATCTTTGCATCATGTTTAAATGGAAGGAATGATTCTGGTTTTCAGTGATCGATATAATAAGATATATTTGGTTACCTGAAGGGCCATGGCATACAAAAAAGCTTAAATAGTAAAATATAAGCAGTAAGAAAATCAACATATATTGGATTTACTACTATTTACATTATGACCAATTTACTTACTACTTAAGTTTTTTATGTGCCATAATTTTATGTGGTTCATAATTTAAATAGTTTTATAAAATATCTAAAGTAATATATTCTTTTTTTATCAATGAATAATTACATATAAATAATAGTATTTATTAAGTAATATAAATATTTAAATATATTACGGTGAAGCACACATATACATAATGTGATATATGTACAAAACTTAAGTTTTCTAAGCATTTTTTCAACAGTTTTTATTTGCTTTTCTATATTTAGCAACGGCCTTCTACAGTTTTGCTCAACTTTTGCAACATCTTTAAATTTTCTTTTTTTTAATTGCATTCTTGGAAATAAAAATAAGTTATATGAAGAGGATAGAGAAGAGGACAGAGATCGTAGCTAGTTTTCTTTTATCAAAAATTGCTATAAGCAGATTTTAGATTAATGAATCAAATCTAATAGATATCTAAAATAGATTACAGTAATTAAATAATAATACAGTAATTTAATAAACATTTATTATTACAATTCTGGGAACTTTTGGGCCATTTTATATATGTATATGTGTATGTTAATACGTTAGTTCTGTGATATGTACGATATGTATATATGTATAACGTGGTCGTTTTTATTGTCATTATATAATACATTTTTTTATAAAATATTCAAATTTCAATTATTATGACTATGTATGAATTTTTGCATAGCATATAAATATAATAATTAACATTGTAAATAGTACTTTCATTAGTATTGCCGAACGAGTGAACTTAGTTTATTGAAGTTTGTTGAAATTTGTGAAATATCACAACAAATTTTAAATATTTCATGAATTATTTATTTGTTGGGTCAAAAATTATTTCAAAAGAGTTAATTTTTTTATTATATATATCTATTTATATATATATATATGTACATATATATGTTTTGTTAAAAAAAATTATCACACGTACAGATTAAACAAATTAATGAGAAATAATTGTGTTTATTTGTGTTAAATAATTATATGTTCAAAGTTCCTTGTTCGACAATAATGTTCACACCTAAAGCGTTACATGCCCAGCGAGCAGAAGCGAACCGGCACCGACGAAGGCAGCCGCGACCGGCAAGGAAATGTCTTCCCTTCACCTCCACTACTATACCGCGCCAGGGATCTTGCACGGGCTCGGCTTCGCGAAGGACTGAAAACGCGGTTCCGGTTGGTGGGGTCCAATATCGGTGGCGTGTCCCACGAAGGTGCTGGCAGTATGAGAGACGACCCATGAAAGTAACAGTGCGCCTTCCGTCCACCTTCGTTGGCTTGTAGCGCGATCGCCAGATAGACTCAGCCAGTCGTATACTTATTGTCCTGGAGAACGGTGTGCCTCGTCCCGCAGGTACCAATAGCGCCGCGTCGTCCTTCAGTATCGTACAAGGTCGCGAGTGCAGCAACAATCGCATTTTGCCGCTGTGGCTCCGTGCATCTTAAGCGGATATATCTGATGCGCGATGTGTACAAGCTGAGGATCTCCTGACTGAAAATCTTGACTAAGTCATTGGGAGACTAGACCAAGCGATAAACATGGACTGGGTAAGAATCTCACCTTTGAACTGATAAGTCGAGTCTTTGTAAATTAATTTTGCAAATTAATAGTGACGAATTAAAAGTGTTTAATCTCTTGAAAATAAGATGTTGGATTATCACACTAAATGCTCGATCAGAATGTCAGAGGACTGACATGTTGAATTATATAAAAAGGAGCACTTTTTAATTATATATATAATGGAGATTATATAAAGAAGCAATTTTGCATTATTATAGATTAGAAATCACTTTATTAATTCCACGTCTATAGAAAATTTATTCTGAAAGCGATTTGTGATTTCTCTAAAACCTGTTTAAATACCAATCGAAATGTCACGTTGGGCGCTGAATATATTAAGATTATACGAGAAGCAATTTTTAATTTTATTCTCAATAGAAAACAATTTATTTTCATTAATCTATAATGTATCTAGAAGAAACTTGTTCTGAGAGTAATGATCATCTCTCTTTGAATAACTTTCTAATCGAATTAGAGCTGAGTGTTTGATTTATAATTAGAACAAGAATTAGACTTGGGCAAAGAAACGAAACTTTACTTTTATAGTGATAAAGTGTTATCTTCAATTGATTTCTAATAATTAATATTTTTATTAATAGTAACATTTGGCGAAAGCAATGATATACAGCTTTCGATAGTTCTTGCAATCGTCAAGAAGAAACACGCAATCATCTCTTTTGTATCTATTGTTTTTTTTACCATAAAATCTTTTTTTATTTTCCCTACAATTATCATTTAATTAAAAAAAATAGTTTTAGAAAAAACAATTGTAGGAAAAATGTTTAAGAATAAAAAAAAATCATTTCTTGACTCGTGATTTCGTCATGTTGATATAAACTGATTTAAATGCGTTGGTATTTTTAGTTTGATCCGAGAAGAAATTAATTTTAATACGTTGACTTTTTAGATTTCGATTTATGGTATTTCATGAGCGATATGTTGATATATACCAGTAATTTCTAGCATCCGCTAGAATATGTAGAATCTTTGAACGCGACGTTAATGACGGATGCACTCTCGGAAAAGTAATACAAGGACTACGCCTAGGCGGGAAGTGCAGACTTTCCTGCGCGAAATGTATGTTATCTCCAAATCAAACATGGACGGTGATGCCTGCACCCAGCTATTTCAAGATTGTTTAAGATTTCGCAAAAGAATAATGTTTATTTGGAAATCATCAGGTCTCCGTGAGCGAGAGACTTGCATTTCGCTTGAATCCGCGTAATTATACCTCGATCGTTATCCGTATGATTTGCAATTCTTCTCACTATAGGAGTGTGTTACTGGAACGCGATGCGTAGACTAATTTCCGATCGGGCGAGTAACGATTGAAATTGCATCGACATTAATGAGAAATTGTGTTCGATTGCGGTCGTGATCGCGGTTTGTGCCCTACATGATTTCGCGCAATACAATCTGTTTTGACGCGACTCGATGAGGCGAGGTAAGAGTTGCGCGTCGGAGGCTGAGATCGAATTCCAGAAGGAAAGATCTACATTCGCGTTGAGTAACGCGCAGGCGAGGGAAACATTTGACTTGCATATTCGCCCTGCGGTATCAAAACGCGATTACAAACGGCGTGGAAAAGAAACCTTGAGAACTAAACGAGAAGCACAAATCTATGGGCACGTCTGTAGGCGTAGGCACTCGCTCCTTTTTTTTCTTTTTCTTTTTTTAACTCTTTGCATCTCACTAGTCACGCTTTCAACGAGTCCGCGGTGTTAATGAGCACGAAAGTGAGAAGGAGAGGAGACGAAGAGAGAAAGGAATATCTTCTATGAGCGCGTGATTTTCCTAATCTTATTCTAATCGGTATAACTGAACAGATCCGAAAATCGTAATATTTTCGAAAAAATAAGTTTAGGAGCTTCGAATTTTTTTTTAATGATATATATTCAGAAATGAAAACACAGTTCTTTGAAAGCAATGGTGGAAAGTGAAAGATACTATTACATAATATTAGTATATTTATATTCTCGTTAATTATTTATATCTCTTATATATATATCCATCTTTTTTTAAAATAAATTTACTATTTTTTTATTTCGATTTGTAGATATTTTTATTTATAGCTATGGAAAATATTTTTTGCGAGTTGTAATCCTATTTTAATTGGTATAACTGACGAGTTAGACCTAAAAAAAAAAAAAAATATTATTTTTAAAGAAGTAGACTTAAATGTTTCAAGTCTCGGATTTAAAAAAAAATGATACTGAGCGGAGCATATCCAGGAATGGAATAAGATAAGATTTTTAGAGAATATAAAGATGGAAAGTGAAAGACAACTATACGCGTAATATTAATATATTTTTATCTTCGTTAATCGGTTCATCTATTGTCCATTTACGAATTATTTCGATTTTTAATTTTTGCTGCGCGAGGCATGGATTAATTCAAGAATGGAATAAAAATATGAATCTTTGAGATCAAAAGTGAAAGGCACGATTACATAATATTAATACATCTATCATTCATCTTTAGTCAAAATAAATCTCTCTGATTTATTTTGATTTTTAACAGTTCTTGTTTATGGCCATATTTGCGATTATTACATGATCGCTGCAAATTAAAATAACAAGTGTAAAAGTATTAAGTATAAAAGTAACGCTACCATAATTTTAATTAATTATCTCCGTTTAATTTTAAATAGCGAAAGTAAAATCGATTTTATTTGCATAATCTTATTTTTCACTTCGTATTTCAATGTGTGCATAAAGTATTATAGCTACATTTTGCTATTTTGTATAACGGACGATGACTCTTTATTTTTAAACAAATTTTTAACCCTTGGTCATGCGGAATTTTGCCCCTTTCGTCAGCAACCCTAGTCTTTGAGCTTCAGTGCAAGTTTTTTATATTGTTCCGGATTGCATAAAAATCTGAAAAAATTTTTGCGTACTTGCAAAAGCTTTAACAACGAGTTTTTAATTTATAGAAGTTGGATTATATTTTATTTATTTTCTACAGATTTGAATTTATTTACAATTGATTGTGCTTTCAAAGGCCGACTTGGCCGACGGAGAGTTAGTAAATCTTCACGGAAAGGATAAACTTCAATGAAAAATATACTTGATACGAGGTGTTTTTGCGTCTGTTTCGCATCATTTCATTAATCGCTACCGATTATCCTTTACCGCAGCGTGCATCGGATTTTGAAAAATTTTTTTTGTTATATGATTATTATAACTTATTAATAACAATTTATTATGACGTTTAAACTTAAATTTTTCATCAAATTGTATAATTTTGTATCTAATCAAGATTGGATAAAATTATTATGTTACGTTATGATCAATTTATTATTGTATATTCGTTAAATATTTATTTGAATAGAACTCTAAATATTTATTACATGTAAACACATATTTGTTTGATAAAAGAATCATTGATTTGATCTGTTCCTTTTTTTATTGCAAATATCTATTTAATGTAAGTAAATGTTTAGTTAGTATAACTACTTAAAAAATGTATCTATATGTAGTAAATGTTTTAAAAATGTGTGTACATAGTGTGCTTCATATATTTCATATCGATAAAATATATATTCTTTTTCAAAAAATAAACAAAAAAAGATATACTTTCTATGTTTCTTCTCTTTTCGCACGCGAACTGCCTTATCTTTTACATTCAAACATACAATGTTGAATAAAAAATAGATTATGCATTGCGCGATTAATTCGCTCATTTTCTACGACGTAATAATTCTGGAAAGGATATCATCGTAATCTAGAAGGTGTTGGTAAGAGAACCTCTTACCGCATTCCTCGCAGCGATAGTAGATTAATGTTGCAGCAAAACGGTGCAACTTCTCAGGATCTACGCGCGATCGAATGTATCTCAAGGCGCGAGGCGAGGCGAGCTGCATAGAAGAGATCATTTGAGGGCATGATCTACGCGCATATCGAATACCTGGGAACGATCGTCGGCTTCCTCCTGATACTGGAAGGAAAGAGGGGTCCCA